ACCCCAGAAGCCCATGTGCTGAGGGCAGCTCATTTGGGTTTTTTGGGAGGTGGTCAGGAGGCAGGACCTAGGGAGGGAAGTTAGTCCACTGAAGATACACTCTTGACGCAGATTTGGTTACCCTGTCCTTTCTCAGTTCCCTTTCTTTGTGTCTTGACTGTCGCGAAGAGAACAGGCTTCCTCTGCCGCACACACCTGTCTTGATGAACTGTGGCTGCTATGGGCCCAAAGCAACAGGGCTGAAACAGGGGGCAAAATAACCCCTTCCTTGTGTTAAACTGATGGTCTTCAGGGGTTCTGACATAACGAGGAGCGAATACACGAGGCCCTTGTGTGATCCCAACACTCAAGCCTCCATCCATTCGCTCACTGACTTCATTTCGTCATCTGCTCAGCGATGCTTGTGAAGCCTCCGTCATGTCTGGATGCTGGGAATTCAGAGAGGTTTACACAGAATGAAGGTGACTAACTCACCCTGCCCAGCAGAACTGGACACCAGAATGGATAAACCTGTAAAGACAAGCCAGGCAGCAATGAGGGCGTGCAAAGGAGATGATACATTTAATTTAACTGAGTTTGGGTTGAGTGAGAATGGCCTCCACAGGCTCATACATCTGACTATTTGGTCCCCAGCTGGTGGAACTGTATGGGAAGGAATAGGAAGTGTGACTTTGCTGGAGGAGGTGCGTCACTAGGGGCAGGCTTTGAGATTTTGAAAGACTGTGTCCCTGCTGTTTCTCTCTCTGACTGTGGTTGTGAATCAAGACATGAGCTCTCAGCTGTTCCTTTGCTCTGCCACCACGGACTCAAACCCTTTTAAACCATAAGCCCGATTCAATGCTTTCTTTGGTAAGCTGCTTTGTTCGTGATGTTTTATCACAGCAATAGAAGGGTAACTAAGACACCATGCTTTCAAACGTTTCCCTCTAGCCTCCGAAGAGTCAGTCACGTTGTTCTCCTGACATTTAACTTTCCTGTCGTGGCAGATAGGCTGGACTTGGCCAATTAGACCAGTGGTTCTAAACCTTTGGGTCGTGACCCCTTCCCCCAGGGTCGCATAACGGATATCCACATTATGATTCACAACACTGGCAAAATTGCAGGTATGAAGTCTTAGTGAAAATCATTTTACGGTTGGGGGACCACCACGACATGAGGAACTGTAGTAAAGGGTCAGGGCATTGGGAAGATTGAGACCGGGTAACTTGGTTGCATGTTTCCCTGGGAAACACACACAGGGCTGTATAAATACCACGATAATTCCAGGCAATCTGAACGGTTTTTCATGTTGAAATGGTCACATTACAAAGTTCCAAAGAACACAAAGTGTTTCAGAATAAAATGGCCTATGTGAAAATAATTACCGGACTATTTCTTGATCACGTGCTGTTTCGGATGCACTATTCGCCATGACTGAGATGTGTTTTCTGGAATACTTTGCAGGCAGCAAGCTGAGTTGTCCACTAGGGCTTGAGTGGTGCGGGCTGAGAAGTCTGAGAAGCATCACGCATTTGAGGGAGGCACTTCCGGTATCCAGCAGGCAGCCTGTGAGGCGCTGAACCCCCGTTAGGCGTGTGGGAGGATGGCCTCTGCGGAAATGCTCTCCTCCGCTCTCATTGGTTCTTCAGTACCTTGATTAGCTGTCCTCACGACTGCGAAGTCTGTCTGGGCGCCACTGTCCTTGGGTTTCATTCAGCACTAGGACAAACACGGGTCCTAGCTCAGGTCGTCACTCTTCGCTTATTGGACCCTTCTCCAAGGAGCTGGCTCGGGAAGGGTCTGATTTCCTGGGACCTAGCAGAAGAGTTCTCTGGGCGTGTTTGAGAAACCAAGCAATAAAAGTAGCTGGCAGTAGGGAGCCCCGAAGGAAGACGAAGTGTTTCTGTGTTCTCTCTGTGGGCCCATTTTTCTTTTTGTACATTTATATGTATGTATTATGTTTATATGCGTGGGCTCCTACATGCTGCAGAAGTGCTCCCGCGAGTCAGGGGACAACTTATGGGAATGAGTTCTCTCCCTCTGCCAGCTGGGTTCCAGGGATAGAACTTGGATCCTCAGGCTTGGCAGCAAGCACCTTTACCTGCTGAGCCCTCTTGTTGGACCACAGACTCCTTTGTCGTAACTGGTGTTGTAGGCTGAATGACAGTCCAGATATTCAAATCATTTGAACCGGTGATCATATGTGACCATATTTGTGAAAAGGTAGTTACATATATATTTATTTTCTTCTCTTCTCTCCTCCCCTTCCCTTCCTTCTCTCTTTTAGTGTTTGAGATAGCCCAACACTAACAATATAGATATCTTATTCTATAGCCCACGTAGCTGGCCTGGAACTCACTGTGTGGTTCACTCACGGCAATCATCTGAGTGTTGTATAAGCCACACGGCCTGGCTCTGCAGATGCCGTCGAACGAAGAATCTTAAGATGCAGTCTGGACAGGGCATCTAAACTCAATGTCAATGTCTTGATAAGAGAAAGAAGATACCGGAAGAAGGGGAGAGGGTCACGAGAAGACAAAGACTGGGATTAGGCAGCCAGGGAAGTCTGAGAGCCAACAGACGCTGGAAGAGCAAGGAGGAACGACAGCCCAAACTGTGGGAGAATACATTTCTGCTGCTTTCAGCTCCCGAGTTTGTGGTAATTTGATACGGCAGCCTTGGCAAACAAGCACAGCTCAGAAACAGAAATGTTTCCTGTGAAATTCCACTGGGTCTCGGCACTGTGTGGGTTGAGCTAGGTACAATTTGGAATTTCCCAACAACTCACTTCTCAACAGACACCTGACCCTACACTGGGGCTCCGGCCATGAGGTTCCTGCTCAGGAGATCGTCATCAAAGCAGTTCAGATGCAGTTCGTCTCCCCTGAAAGTTAATACGCTTGCCTTCTATTTTAAGAAGCGGGGGAGGTGCTGGGAGATAGCTCAGTTGGTAAAGTCCCCACTAAACAACCATGAAGACCCGAGTTTCAGCTCCAGTATCTTAATAAAAACGCCGAGCACGGCAGTGCATACCTTTAATCCAGTGCTAGGGAGGCAGAGACAGGGGGATCCTGGCTGGCCATTCTTGCCCTACTTGGTAAGTTTCAGGCTAAGGAGAGACCCTGTCTCAGAACACATAGTGGATGGTTCCTGATGAACAATACTGGAGACTGAACTCTGACCTCTTCACGCACACACACAAGTGCATGCACACCTGGGAACATGCCGATGTGTACATACACACGTCAACTTTTAATAATGGTGCTAGGAATTGAACCCAAGGCCTTGTGAATACCAAGCATCTACTCAACCACTGAACTCCCTCCCACCCAGTAAAAGATTTATTTTTTTATTTTTCGAGACAGGGTTTCTCTGTGTAGCAGCCCTAACCATCCTGAAACTAACTCTTGTAGATCAGGCTGGCCTCGAACTTACAGAGATCCACCTGCCTCTGCATCCCAAGAGCTGGGATTAAAGGCGTGTGCCACCATCGCCGGCCAGTAAAAGATTCTAAACCCATCTATTATACCCTAAGGTTCATGGGCACATACATTGGCCTACCTAGCACCTACAATGACACTATTACTATTCTACAGATGGATAAATTAGAGAGTGGGAGCTGACTTGCTCAGCGACATTGCTCGAAGGTGGCCGTCAGAATCCCAAACTGCCTGCTTCCTGTTGTGTCTGCTTCTCTGAACACTGTGTTCTTTCTGCTATATCGGTCCAGGTGGTGGAGAAATTCACACTCTAAGGGGAGGGGGGAATCAATATCCTGCAAAATGAATGAGTCAGAGCTACTTATAGAAGCAATGGCTAAAGCTGCTCCTAGGATCAAAGAAGTCCTCAGGAGAGAGAGAGAGGGCGCCTGAGCTGTAACTTCACGTTCATTTCTTTACTCTCTGCAGGCAATATGGATCCAGGGAGGAATCAGAAAACCTCTGGTTGAGGAATTCACGCGCGCATGTTTGTGTTCAGAGAGGCAAAGAGGCAGTTTGTGTGTGGTAAACGCCTATTAAAAGACAAAGTGGAGGTTGGAGTAGTGGCACACACCTGTAATCCCAGCACTGGGGTGGGGAGCTGAGGCAGACTGAGCTACATGGTGAGTACCAGGCTCGCCGTGTCTCAGCCGTCCTCCCCCAAAACAAAGACAACACAATAGAATCAACTGGACGGTGGTCGAGGCAAGGTCCCTAATTCGGAGTCCCAGAGAGATGAGTGAAGTCTTTCTGAAGAACGGACTCCTGCCACAGCAGAAATATGATGGCTAAGCAAGCTTTAGTCACCAGCAGTAAAAGTCTTTCTAGGCAGAGGGTAAGCAACCCACCCGCGGAGGTGAGACAGCCTCCTGAGTGGCTGGCACACGTGGTGGCGAAGCTTACTAGTACTAGAAGCTAGAAGGGGCGTGGACTTGTGGGTCTGAGTCGGTCGTTGTAGAGCTGCTCGATGGATCTCTGGTCCCCGTGCTCTCACGGTGGCGGCTCCCCTCTCAACCATAACGCACGGCTTTTTGGTCAGTGGATGAGAACACTCGGGCAAGACAGACCATCCATCCCCGACTCAGCTGGTTCCAAGCTCGTCCCCCGCCCTCCGCGGGAGGCCCTGTTACCATGGCAGCTAGGTTAGGGCGGAAGTGGTTTAGAAGATTGACTCTCACTAATCAGGTGACTCTCCAGACTTCTGCACGTGACACCGGAGCGCCTGGCGCGCGCTCTACCTAATCGAGACGCCGTCCCTCTTTCAGCGACAACTGACAGCGCTCTAGAGCAATGGCTTGGGAGGCTCTCTGAGGAGACCCCACCTCTCCATAGGGAAAGGACCAATTAGGCAGAGGCAAAGAGAAGGAACGCCCCAGGTTTCGCCCGGGTTTGACAGACGCAATTGAGGCCATCCTAGAGTCCCTCCGCCCCTAGCCATTGAGCCCGCGACAGACGGACTCGTTGCCCAATAGCACGTCCCTTGGCCGCCGCCGGGTCCCGCCCTCTCAGGAACGGAACCAATGAGCACGCCAGCTCCGGGCCGGGTGGAGGGGTTGCACTGCGGTAATATGGCTCTTCCTTAGCCAGCGGCGGTGTCTAGTCCGGGTGCCGAGCTGCCGGGGCTCTCGGGTGGTCGGTTTCTAGGCTGCAGAGGCTCGGCGGATAGCGGCTCCGGAGGCTGCGGCGGATGCGGGAGGACTGCCCGCCTGGCCGCCCGGCGGCCCTGGGGTCCAGATGAGCTCCTATGGTTCTCTCGGGGGCCCGGTGCCCCTGCCACCCCCAGGCCCGTCCGCCGCGCTGCCGCCCGGTGCCCCAGCGCGGGCCCTGCATGTGGAGCTGCCGTCCCAGCAGGTGAGGCGGCCGCGAGCCGGGGGGCGGAGAAGGCCGAGAGAGGAGGTCGACTGGGCTCGCGGGACTGAGGAGGGCTGACAGGAGGAGGACCCCGCGTCCTGGACTGGGGGAGCCGGGGGTTCCCGCGCTCAGACCTCCACATCCCTCTGGGAAGGCGCCGGGGAGCCCTGCGCCCGTCCGGCCGACGCCGCGCTTTCCCTTTCGCTCCAGAGCCCAGGAGTCGGTTTTCCTGCACTTACTACTAGCGTTCTGGGGTGCTTCTTTCTGCTCCTCCTGAGGAAGGTATTTGGGACGTCGGGGTTTCTTTCCCAAGTCGCAGAACCTCATGGCACACTTCACTCCCTCGGGTGAGCGCCTGGAAGGAGGATCTGAAGTATGTGTTCATATCATGGATCTTAGTTTGCTGGGGTGTAAGGACGAGAGAACACTGACTTTGGGGATCTGACAGAATTCTTGATGACACCCGCCTATCTACAGAGTCTGTCTTCTACTGGCCTCCCGCAGTCCTTCATGGTTGAGACTCTGCAGGGACCTTAGCACTGAAGAGGGCCGGGAGAAACTGTCAGTCACAGAGAGGTTACCGCGCTAGGTCTGTGCACAGTGCTCACTGAATCGTCACAACCCCGTGAGACAGCTGTTTTTATCATCCCAATTTTTCAGTTCTAGAAACAGGCTTGTCCACTGCCTTCCTGTTACTGTTACTGGTGAGGCTGGGTTTCCTCAGACAGCGTCTGACTGCAGCCCATGCACCGGGCATAGTTTGCTTGGGACTTAAACAGCGACTCCACCACGGTCCACAGGACAGAGCAAGCTTCCTTAGCCCCCTTCCTGTAACTTTCCATCCTTGCCCGAGACAGGAAGGAGTCACACAAGAGTGCAGAGGCTAGAGAGGGCCAGGCGTGAAGTGGATTGGAATGTAAAGGGAAGGGAAAGGTTGCATACCCCTCCACACTGCCAGCCCCCGCTACCCGGTGCCCTAACAGTAGGGAAGCATTAATTGCTGGAAGCAAGACTCTGTGGTGGGAGAGGGCTTAAAAGATCAGAAGGCATGTGCCCTGGTTTTGTGGTGTGCTTGGGCAGGGACTTTGTGGAGAATATTAAGAGTTGGAAGGTGGTTTGGATTACATTTTGAGAGCGTGGCTGAAGAGTTGTCTGTGGATTGGGCATCAAGTGTGAATTTTTGTATGTGGGGGAGGTGGATTTCAAGGGGGTGCTGGGAGAAGCAGGGAAATCCTGGGGTTCGGGATGTAGATGGGTTTAGTCTAGGGGAAGTATGAGAACGTGTGGGGTTGGAGAAGAGAAAGAATCATTTACTGCATAAAGCCTGCTCTGTGAATAACAGTTCACAGTTTAACACTAGGGGGAATAACCCAAGCAAACTGTCCATGGACTCAATTCATGTGTTTGTCGGGTTTCTGGATTGGTGTGTAGTGGCCTAAGTTTGCAGCTGGATGCTGCATGAACTTGGCATGTTCTGTATGGTTTCCTGGGAGTGTCATCCTGTTAGGCAACCTATATAACCAAACACATTCCTTCTGTGGTTGATATTAATTTAGCTTTCTAGATCAAAATTATTCATGTTTTGGGAAACAATTTTACTTTGTTTGTTTTGTTTTTTGAGACAGGGTTTCTCTGTAGCTTAGGAGCCTGTCCTGGTAGCTCTTGTAGACCACGTTAGCCTCGAACTCTGCCTGCCTCTGCTTTTCTAGCGCTGAGATTAAAGGTGTACGTCACCACCATCCGGCTGAAACAAATACTTTTAAAATAAGCATTTTGTTGATTAGTATATTAATTTACTATATAACACAAGTTCCAATAGGGTTGACCCTATCTGCTTCTAGAAGAGATTTGAGTTTGCCTAGGAAGAGCCCACAGAATTATGTATAAGACATATATAGTTTACCTTTTCTTATTCTAATTTAAAAATTTTTAGCAGGATCTCAGTACGTAGCCCTTAGAGAGCCTGAAACTCACCCTGCAGACTAGGTTGGCCTTTGAACTCACAAAGCTTGCCTCTGCCTCCCAAGAGGCTGGGATTACAAATTTGCAGGACTATGCTTGACTGGTACTACAGGCTTGTGCCACCCAGCCACCACGCCTGGTTTGTTTTATTTTAATTTACATATCTAATCTGGAACCTTTCTTTTCACGGTTGAGTACTAGCCCTGGTTCACTCACCTGTCCATTGGCTCTAAAGTGACTGTACCACATAGCTTTAGTCTACTCTGCTTCTAGGTCCTCTCTGTTTAACTGTTATTGAAGCGAGAAGCTGTGGTCATATGCTTTGAAGATGTGCTGCTCTTTAATTTCTGGTTGATGTTTGTCATGTTCCAGTGAATCGGTATAGGCTCGGCCAAGGAGGAGCGTGCTGCACACACTTGGATTTAGGAGTCTTAAGATAATTTTTTAAATATAATTTATTTTTTATTTTATATGCATCGTTGTTTTGTCTATATGTATATCTGTGTGAGGTCTGTCAGATCTTGGAATTACAGACAGTTGCTAACTGCCATGTGGGTGCTGGGAATTGAAACAGGATCCTCCAGAAGAGCAGTCAGTGCACTTAACAACTGAGCCATCTCTCCAGCCCACCCCCCCATTTTGGCAGAGACCTTTAATTTAATGTGTCGTTAATATTAAGCTTAACTAAGAGAATTTCTTTTCTCCTCCAAAGCTCCCCAGCCACGTTCTCAGATACTTGGAATGCAGACATTTTTAGAGGTTTTTAGTGATTACCCTTTTGGAGGTCACATGTTTCTTTAAGAATTCATAAAAAGGGGCTGGAGAGAAGGCTCAGCAGCTAGGAGCACTGACTGCTCTTCTAGAGGATCTGGGTTCAGTTCCTGGCACCCGCATGGCAGCTTATTGTCTGTAAGCCCAGTTCCAGGGGCCTGATAGCCTCATACAGGCACACATGCAGGCAAAACACCAATGCTCATAAAATAAAAATTAAAAATAAGTAGAGTTGGCTCAGCAGTTAGCACTGACTGCTCTTCCAGAGGACCAGGTTTAATTCCCAGCACCCACATGGTGGCTCATGCCTGTCTGTAGCTACAGTTCCAGGGGGCCTGACTCTCTTACACAGGCATACCAGTAGGCAAAACACCAATGCACATAAAAATAAAAATAATTAATTAAAAATAAAGAATATAAAACATTAAAAAGAGTTCATAAAAGATACAGACTTTTAGAAATACACACGAACACCTAATCTCGCACGAGGCTTTGGTTTCTTTGTTTAAATGGAAAATTTAAGATTGACTGTTCCTAATTGGCTTACACCTTTTCGTGTAAAAATATTACAGAATTTAGCTATTGGACTTTTTCTTGACTAGTCTTCCATATAATGTGTATCACCCACATTTTTCATCCGTCTACACACGTGTGTTTGTGTGCATATTGGCGCACAAGTGTGTGGAGGCCAATGGACCGCTGTGTTATCCTGGGACACCACCCCTTCTTTTGAGACAGGGTCTTAGTTCACAGTTCTGCAGAACTCTTGCCTGAGACTCCTGAGTGCTAGGAATGCAGATGTGTGATATCACCCACCCCTCACTGTTGTAGGGTTGGGACTCTTTCCAGAAATTCTCTATTCCTCTACACTGCATGGCCACGCCGAAGGATCTCAGAGTACACGTGATGTCCGTGGGATGAAGTTAGCTCAGTGAAAACACATGATAGCCAGTGTGTTTGTTTGATTATGTGTTTAACTTGCCTGGTGCTCAATATCAATAGACCAGGCTGGGCTCAAACTCAGAGATTAACTTGCCACTACTGATAGGATTAAAGGCGTATGCTACCATTCCTGGCACTGTGTTTGTGTGTATTTAAACCCATAGGTTTAAATCTTCCTATTTACACTCATACCATTGTAATAGAACTGGTTTCTCTTTACTTTTGCCAACTTTGCATATTTCTAACCTGAGTTTATTAATTCAAACCATATATGTGTGGACACATGTGCATACACATATATATGTACACAATGCATATACATATGTATGTATTTGGTATTTAAATACACATTTCTTTAGCTGTTGGTTTTCTTTTTTATTGCATATAAGACAGTGTGCTAAGCACATGGTCTCAGTTTTCCTGCCCAGCCTTATGGGTTTTAATATCTTTACATACTTTTTATTGCTACTTGAATTTCTTCTGTGAAGTGCTTGTTCGTGTCCTAAGCATTCATTTTTCTAATTGTTTTGCTTATGATTTTGTATAGTCGTGAAGACTCCTTTTTACTTTCCTCTCTTAGAAAAGTGGGTTAGAGCTATTAGCCTTTATTATTATTATTAATTTTATCTTAGCGTGTGTTTCTGTTTCTGCGTTAGCTAGGGAGCGTGACCCTAGGGGTCCGAGGACAGCCTCCGGTGTGGGTTTCCACCTGTTTCAGGAGAACCTTGTTTTCATGTGGCACACGTCAGGCTAGATGCTGCATTTTGTAGGAGTGTCTGGATTACAGAGTAAGCGAGCCTTGCTTTGTGTTGATCCTGGGCTTCTGAACTCAAGCCCTCTCACTCCTAGGGCAATGCCTGCCCACCATCTCCCCTACTCGTACCATCATCATCATTAAGTCCTGGAACTGACCAGGACCTTGTACACGCTGGGCAAGTCCTCTGTCGTCTGTCACTGAATATACCATCAACCCTCTGAAACAGGGTCTTACTGTATAGTTCTGGTTGGCCTGGAACCCACAGACCTACCTGCTTCTGTTTCCCCAGGGTGCGGGATTAAAGGCGTGCACCACACACCCAGCTCTTTTCTGTTTTTTTGTTTGTTTGTTTTTGAGACAAGGTCTCATTAAATTGCCCAGGCTTGCCTTGAACTTCATCTGTAGCCCAGATGGGTCTTGAATGTAAAAAAAAAAAAAAAAAAAAATTAGGTTTATTTGTTTTATGCGTGTGAGTATTTTGCTTGAGTGTATGTACGCCACTGGCGTGTCTGGTACTTGCAGAACACAGCAGAGGGTGTCAGGTCCCTTGGAGAGGGAGTTGTAGGTG